AATAGATTCACCTAAATGTTACACACTGGACATTCAAAAGAAAGTGTACCAATTAGGCTCTATTTTCATTTTCCCTACAATTATTATTCCAGGTACCTTACAGTTTTTAGTTAGGGAATCATTGTGAATCTAGGAACCTGTAAAATAAAGCATCACCCAGTTTGACTGTGTAATTTTGACAGCAACAAAATCAGGAATTATGTAATTTTTATATGAAAACTCAAGCAACTTTAACTATTCTGCATATTCTGTTGATTTTCATACAGAGCAGATGTGAATGAAATCAACTGAGAAACACTAAAGCATTCTTTGGAAAATTGTCGGCCGAAATATAAATCGACACTGGTACGGTCCTTTAATCTATCTGAACACCAAGTGATTGGCTTGGGGGCTTGTTTTAAGTGCCAACGTCACAATGCGTTCATCTATATTCAATGCCAGGCGTCACTTCTTGGAGGAGCTGGGCAGTGCTTGGACTTTGTAATGTAGCTCTGTCTCCTAGCGCGGATTTGAAACAAGGGAGAAATGTGTAGAAACGTCCATCTGAGTACAACAAAAAGTAAACGTGAAGCTTGACAAAAGCAGCTTTGCATAACGTGAGTTCATTTGACCATTTCATCTAATGTAACATTTTAAAAATACACACCTTTGGTAACATTTTACTTTAAAGTCCTGTGTCACTCAACAATTATGGGATCACTCAAAATGCTCAGTGTTGTGGCAAAAGGTCTATGTTTGATGTTGTAGCATAGTGTGAGTAATTTAAAAGATTTGTTCAACATTTTGGTAAATATACTTATTTGTATTCCTTCTTAGAGTGAGGTTAATCGATGGATATCGATCTCTAACTGTGTCTTAAATACAGAGCTGGAGTTGGGACGTGGTTAGCATGCAGAGTGGAAGCACGGTGAAGCAGCCTACTCTAGAGTGCACTAATTAACAAGTATCTCCTTTACCTGTACACAAACAGCAATGTAATGTGATGTTATATGTATGATATAGGTTGCAAAATGACAGCAAAGCCACCATTGCTGGATGTTACATCTAATATTAAAAAAAATCATAAATCATGATTAAAACAAATATAATTAATGTAGCTAACTTAAAGGGATCTAACCACTACACACATAGAACACAACAAAAGTAGCTAATTTAAGCTAGTTAAAAAGTGTGACTATACATCTTGGAATAATGCCTGAACAGTTTTTTTCTATTCTTCCAATTCTGCTGACTTTGCCTAAATGCAGCATTTCTGTCACAGTGTGTTTGACAGGTTTGAAAAAAACAAAAAAACAAAACAAAACCTGGACCTGTATCTAGCTCTGGTTTCATGTCATTTGAGCTAGTTCTTATGACGCTGATGTATGTTCAAGTGTTCATTTTTCGGATCATTTTGGTTGTAATAAGTTATTTGATGCTATAAAAACCACGGCTCCAACCCTGTTTACTGCTGCACAGTCTCTGGCTCCAAATTATGACACCAGCGTAAGATGGCAGTGACCATATTCGGAATACTTTGGCTTTGCCTCCTCACTTACTCCCTCGTCTTTATATACAGTCTATGCTCTAAAAACACACATTATTATATTTATAGGTCTGCCATAGACTTGTTATAGATATAATAAGCATGTGTTTTCCTTTTGAATGCAGCTAGGCGAGTTATTTCCCCTGCCTCAAATCTTTATGCTAAGCTAGGCTAACTACGTCCTGACTCCAGCTCTGTACAAAACAGACATGACATTGATAACAAACTGACCATCTCACTCTCACTCTGTTGAACTATTGCTTTGGTGAACCACAAGTGACAGATGTTTAAAATTAGAGGTCAAGTATGAATAATTGACGGTATGTATTTAAGTAATTGTCAAGATTTGACAAGACTGTAAAGTAAAGTGTATGTACATGTTAACAGGGACAATAGTGAACATTCTGAGGAATTCCTGAGTTTAACCTCCCATGATGCACAAGAGTGGGAGGGAAGCTGACAGGAAGAAAAGGTCAGGATGAGACAGAAAGAAGAGAGAAAGAGAGAGAGAAAGCTGCCAGTGCTTTTGTTTTATCACCAGTCCAAAAATACCTGTTGAACAGTATTGCTGATAAGACAACTTGTGTCATCTATTACAAAAAAGAAGAAAATACTTTTTTTAGGTATAGACAAGTATGAGTGTGTCACCGACCCTCCAGACTCTATGTATACTCCTGTCTCTCCTGTTCCTCTGTTGTGCATTTCTCAGTCATTTCCTGACAGAAATCCACTGTTACAGTGGGGCTACATACTTCCTCAGTGGATCCAAGCACCAGTGGACACTCTGGGTTCTCCTGTCCCAGACCTGACACCTCCACCCCAGGCTGCCTATCCTCCAGTCCTCTTTGACTGGGACCCACGTCAGACAGACATGCGGCATCACTCTGTTGCGACACAGGCGACCTGGGTTGGAACGAGCCCTCGTCAGAGGAAGGCGACGGTGGGTTGGACGTCAGGTCGATGCTGGCGGAGACGGGAGGCGGCTGGGTGCCCTGTACCTCCCTGCACACTTGCTGGGAGAGAAAGGAGAGGTTCTGCCACAGCTCAGACATACAGACCTTCAGCTGGTTGCGCTCGCTCAGCAGCTTCTCCTTCTCGCACACCTTCAAGAGTTCATAAGACACAGCGTCATCAGGTCAGCATGACAGAAATACTCATCAGTGAGTACTTCATCAGGTATACCAAGACATCAGCTGTTTCACAAAAATCACAAGAAAACTCAAAGGAATTATTATTTTCAACAATTGAAATGCCTTTATTCTTACTGCACGATCCAGTTAAACCTAAAAACTAACTCTGTGTTTCGGACTCCCTAACGGAGGCTTGATCCCGAAACACATCTGTGTTTGTTTTTAGGTCAAAACCTTTTTGTCTCTGACAAAGGCCTAATGCTGTTGGAGTCATGCCATGACAATAAAAGGTATTTTATTTTGAGGAGCAGTTCTCCAGTAGTGTAGCACTCTATTAGCCATACAGCAACCTGATTAGTTTAAGATTAAGACCTGTTACCATATTTTATCTGTTTCTGTCTAGTACCTTTGAGACCCTGTAGGTTGCCTTGTGAGTGTGTGTGTCTAAGGTGTGTGTTTGTTGTACGATCATACCAGTTTGCGGATCTCGCCTTCCAGGTTCTGGATGCAGTCCAGCTTCCTCTTGCGGCAGCGTTGGGCGGCGATGCGGTTTTTGCTGCGGCGGCGGATGTCATGGATGAACTCCAGCTGCTCTGAGGTCAGCTTGTGCATTTTGATGAGGATCTGGAAGTCGTTGCGTGGCAGGTTGGTGATGTGGTCCACGGGGAAGGGCAGCTTTACCTAAAAAGAACCACAAGGACCAATAGTTTCAGTTTGATTTGGTCAGCTATCTCTAACAGTGACTCTGACTGTCCGGCAGCCAAAATGCAGATGAGAGAAAGAGAGAGTTAATAAAAAAATCTTCTCCTAGTACTGTGGCTGAAAGTACCCCACAATTCAATGTGTGTGAATGCACCTTTAGGCTGGTTTAATAACCAACAGTAATCAAAAGACATGAAGAAGTTTATGAACTGTTAGATTCTGGCTGAATATTATTATTTATGTCAAAACATTACTTAACTATGGTAGAACCACTTGAATCACTTGATATCTATTGTTCTTGCTGAGAGTGATTAGACTGAAGCAGAATAGACTATATTATATGACGTTATTTCTCTTTTATTTACAGTAAACTCCATTGTAGTAGATCATTTAATTTAATTCCATTAGTCCTTTAGTTCCTAAATGTGTTTGTTTTTCATTCATCTGACTGCAATAATGTATGTTTGATCCTACTTCATTAATAATGTGAAAATCAAATCAAATCAACAAAACAAAGCTCCATTGAGCCATGTATTTGCACAAGGCATGAGATTTCTACATGTACAAGTGTGTCCCAGGGAGCTCTGATAATGTTCCATATGCTTGCAGTCTTAATGGGAACTGTGGCAGTATTTGACTACTCGCACATACAGACCCTGTGACTGGTGGAGCTTGTTACTCCATATGCAGACAAACAGCTACAGACTCTGGGCTGAAGAAGTACTGCCACTACCTCTACACATCTTTTTGATAAATAAATATTTTAATCTCTTTTTTGACTCATAGTTGAAAATGTGTAAAAGGGCAGTGCTCTTTGTTATAAAGATGCAAGATACATCATTATGTACCTAATTTTAATATTAAGCCGGTTATTGGATAAAAAAATGGTAGTCTACAAGTTATTTCTAAGAAGCACTTATTTAAATAAACAACCATATTTAAAGCCCAATAAATTATAGTGCTGGGCAGTATGAATTTGTATTACTGTACTTTTTAGTTTTTTATTCTGGTGGTTTCACGGTATATTACGGTATTGTATTTATTAATTACATAACTTTTATAATTTTTATGGGTTTTTAGTGGCTTACTCTACTGTCAGGAGTGCATACAATATAAAAGTATTCTAATGTATCATGTATAACCTAAAGGCTTTGATTTCTGTAGGGTTTTCTTTGCTCCACAAAATGATGTTATATATGAAGGAATATGAATGTAAACCATTTCTTTGCGTAAACTGCAGTAAAAAGGGAAGTTAAAAATAAAAAAGACACAGCAAACACTTTAACATCGCTTCCTTTTCAAAATAAAAAATATTTTTAAATAGCTGTAAAAACACTATAAACTCACCTAAAATCCTCAAAGTAGATACTTCTCAAATGTTCTGTTGCACAAGTAAGACACAAATGAGTTATAGCAGTTGTTCCAGCTATGCAACGGTATGGTCGAATGTGAAAAATTTATATCATTACAAATGATGATATAGTCAAATTGTGGTAGACTGGTATAACTGTATAAACTATAAATACAGATAATGAATATAAGTAGCATTTTTACATTATTCAATGTATGTATTCACTTCTGAAACCAAAGCAACGCTCTTCGATCAACATTAAAATATTGCTCACACATTCATGCAGCAGTTATAATAATGCAATAAAATAATACACAGCAATACAACAAAGACAGGAGTCATTCTGCTGCACAATGACTACTTTTTACTTTTCAATCGTTTAAGTAAATTTTGCTGAAAGTATGTTCACTGGAGTAAGCTTACTTGTAATGGAATCATTTTTAATTGCTACTTTTTGTGAGGTAAAGAATGTGAGTATGACACAACTGGCATTCAGTAAAATATGAGTAGCATTTAACATTAGTTCCAAGTTGTCCGATGGAGAGCAATGTGGTGTAAAATCCACCAGGTGCCAGTGTTAAGCTGCTCATTGATCCCAGCAGCTCCAGCACAAAGAGAACACAGGATGAGTTTGTTTCTTTGTTTCACAGTCACTAGCTTATTTTGGTCCTAATTGAGCAAAATTTCAACTTACTTATTATTTCTTTCTTTGCTGATAGGAATCCATTTGATTTAGTTTGTTGTTTGTTTAATGGGTTTTTTATTCTTTGTATTTTTATGCAATTTCCTATGCAAGAATATATTGATATTTTAAATCATTTTGTATGTATCTATTCATGTTCACTCTAGTTAATGAATTAGTTAGAACATTTCTTTACTCTCTCTTATCAATGCATTCATTTATCCCTCTATCGATCATGTGTACACGTTTACTCTATGTTCCACTGCAGTAGTGTACACCAGAGCAGCCCATATTGTTTTCTTTATAGCAGCAGTGTTCAGCACAGTGCTGCCAGTATACAACGATGACATCATTCACTGCTCTGACAACACAGGAAAGGGAAGAGAGAGGCGAGAGAGGGTGTGTGTGTGTGTGTGTGTGTGTGTGTGTGTGTTTAGGTGCTGCCTGTCCTTTACTCTATAGACATCTATATATAGCTCCATGACTCTCAGCAGTCACATAATAAGGTTGAAATGACAAAGTGAGCCTTAGATGGTCATAAATCCCCTCACCAATCTCTCTCTCTCTGGTGTTCTGGTTTCCATTTTTAACACTGTGTGTACCCTTTGAGACGCTCTTTCCATCACTTGCTGGTGTTTGAAAAAATTAACTAGTTTAATGTTTTTGTATCAACATTGATATAGTCAGAATCTCAAAAGAATAATTACTTAAGTAATAAATCTAAAATAACTGCTGACACAATTTACTGCAATAACGATCCTACACTACACCCAAACCCACAGAGGAGAATTGGGGCCACATGATGGAACTGCACTTGAGTCTATGATCAGTCTAGTACGATTACATGCGCATGACAATCCTGGTTAAGATCAGGTCTTTGGAGTATGTGTTGTAAACATCTCATCCTGCTTTCAGAAACCTGGATACAGCCTTGAGAAACCTGGGTATGCTATCTGGATAAATCAGGATACCGTAGTGTGTAAATACATTGTTATACATTTGTTAGAAAAATAAGTAACTAGGAAATCAAGACAAAAGTGCACACATGATAAGAAACCTGGATTCTAGTTACCTAGGTTTCTTGTTCTCATGTTAATGGCTCAAAACCAGGGTAATAATGTGCATGTTAACGTGGTCTATGAGTGTTTTTACGCACTAGTATCCTGGCTATCATCTGGAATATTAGACTTTATCCCAGTTTTGAGAAACCTGGATTTGCTACCGAGAGAAACTAGGATACTGTGGCATGTAAACACCACCACGTTTCTGAACATTGTGGCTGAGATGGTGAGAAATCAAGACACCATCAGACCTAGATTCGGTTATGTACATGTACTGGATACAGGGATATGAACAACTAGGTTTTTCATGTTCCATGTTGTGGCGGGTTGACTAGATGTAATGTTGGGGTGCCAGTCAGAGT